ATCCTGTTTTCACACGGGATAGAATTTACAATTACACATGATCCTAGGAACCTGCGTAGTTTCTCCCCTAGGCACGTTATTTCAGATGTGGCAGGGCTCTTAAGATGCGTCTTAACGTTTTTGGAAGGACATGCTAATGTTCGACCTATGTAACTAAGAAGCGAGGTGGTCCTCAGTCCGGATGCTGGATAGCTGGATGGCAGGCTGTTAAAGCTATGCAAAATGGTCTTCTTATGGGGAGTGGGGTGGGGTAATTGTGATGAAAAAAATCATCCAAGCTGCTTTTAGACCAAAAAAAAGACATACTTATATAACAAGAAAAGACAATCATAAAGGGCTGAGGAAGATATATCTTGAGCGTTCAGGTTCCAAAAATAAATAAAATTCATGCTCAAGTTGAATCACCCACCCATCCCTCATCAGCCCAAGAAAGTTCGAAGGTCACTTCCTAAGAATATGGCGTGGCTGTTTACGAGCAAATTCTTTTCGCGTAGCTATTTACCAGCAAGTTCTTTACTAGTAGTTGTTTACCAGCAAGCTGTTTTCGTGTGGTGAAGCTGTTTACCAGCAAGTTCAGTTTGTATATGATTTTGTTATGCCTCCCTATTCAAATATGTTTTCCGATTTGAGGAGAACGTGCACGTGCCGTGGTTCAAAACTCACTAACTACATCAATGTTCCACTCGGTTTCGCCTTATGGAGCATTCACGGTCTTGGGTAATCAAAACGCACTGTTTCCCTTGGGGCCAGTTAAATTTGCCACAGGTTTATAATTTGTTCTCCATTCAAGGGGTGGCGAATGGTCCTCAAAAACCATGGGTCTCGCAAAATTTTCGCCGAATTTCACGGGTCTCGCAGTCTCGTTTTTTAGCGGCTATGTGCGTCTCGCAGTCTCGATTTTTCTCACAAAGCTGTCTCGCAGTCTCGATTTTTATTTAACGCTAAGAAAGTCGCGAAGTACCGATTTGTTTATTTTTTTTTTAGTAAAGTTAAATGACATCACAACATCTTAGAAGATGAAAGTCTTGAGTTCGCATTTAAAACACTTTAAAGTCTCAGTCTCGCGATTGAAGAAATCAAAATAGCTCGGGCCCGCAAAGAAAAACGTTAATCTCGTCGTCTCGCAAAGTCTCGCCACCCCTCATTCACGTTGGTCAGGTATCCAGGAACCAAGTCCATATTTGGAAATGTTAGACTATTGACGGATTTTGAGGTGATACATCATCCTATGTTGATGTCCGTTTGTAATAAATTGAATAATTGAACACAGACAGTGTAGTAACCTTAAGCTATTCGTATTGCATAAATTATCCATATTGCACATGAATAATTTGATATTGTCGACTGCAGCAGCCTAAAGAATGTACCAATTGCAGAGGAACCAGTGCTGCCAAAAGAATGTCACCAAATCTCTTCCTCGGTTTGAGGATAGTGCCCAGAGGAACGTTTTATTCTACCAAACTGCCCACCCCATAGCTTATAAATTGCACTGTGATTCTTGTAGTATCGCCGAATTTTTTTCCCTTAACTTAATGAAATACGATAATTGTTGTGGTGTGTAATAAAATACTATTCGTCATGCTTCACCATTACTCAGAAAGAGTAAAATTCTGAGAAATTCGCTGTTTTGGGTAAAGAGGTGGGAAAAATAATTCAACCACGCTAGAAAATAAATTTTTGCTACTTTAGTTCTTTCGTGTTCCCATTCTCGTCCCCAAAAGCCGCGCTCCTTTTGGTCGGCACCAAGAATCGCGACCTCTTGGAAGGTCCAACACCGGAAGTCCGCGATTCACGGACTTCCCGTCACTCTGCGCATGCTCAGAGTCAAGTCTGACAAATCTGATTGGCTGCGAGTACAAAACGAATTCTCTGGGCATGGTCAGAAATTTGGACCCGGCCAGAGGTCGCGATTCTTGGTGCTGACCAAAAGGAGCGCGGTCTTTGGGGACGAAAATGTCGTGTTCCTTGTGGTGTATTTTCTCGGAAATCATGTGATCTTATTCACATGCGCAGTCTCATCGTTTGTAAATGTATAAAAAAGCGTTACGTCTAGGCATGAATATCTGTCAACGACGGGAGCAGTTTGAGTTCTACGCTATCACATTAAGGTTACAGATATTGGTAATTTGGGAAATTCACTTGCAGTTTGACCAAAATGAGCGAAAGTCTAACCGAAGACCAATTCAAACAGATGCTGCGGCAACAACTGGGTCCTGGAATAGCGGAAACGGCCGAAGTAACAATTGTTCAGGGAGGAGTACCAATTCGTGATCAAGGAAGAATAACCGAGTCTTTTATAGTCCGTGAACATGGCGAGAAGATCGAGTCGCTCAATAAGGAGATTCAGAAGAAGGATGATGAAATCGCCGCCTTACAAAAAGATTTGGAGGAGCTTCGGGAGAAAAATGCCGAGCTTAATAGCGCACTAAAGTCTAAAGATGTCGAAATCGAAAAGCTGACATCGAGAATCGACGAGCTGGAGGAGGAGAAACGAGAATTACAGCGAAAGTTAGGGTCAGTTGAATTCGATCTGGACGTTCTCAAAAAGGAAGTCGAAAAACTGGGAAAGGCGAAGAAAAGCCAGGAGCAGACGTCGTTAAAACTGACACAAGATTTGGAACGTGTATGGAGGAATATGGATACGGTGAAAGGCGACCTCGAAAAGAAAAGAAAGGAAAACGATGATTTGAAGAAGGAAATGAGGGAAGTCAAAGACTCACAACATAAAGGGCTTCTTCCCCTGATGCTTGGTGCTAGAGGGTTGCCGATAAAGCCTCCTCCGCCACATATGCTGCCCAAAACAAGCCTGGAAGCATCGCTACATCTGGGAGAGATGTGTCGTCAACTGCAAATCAAGTTGTACAAGTCTGTGTTTCCAAACTCATTTGTGGAAAATATAAACTACAAGGTGGATACCATTCAGCGCCATTTAAAGAAGTTTCCAAACACTGAAGAGGCTCAGAAGAAATGGGATAAGATTCAGAAGAAGTTCAACTGGAAAGAAACGTACGAAGAGGCAATAAGTCTTCTTCAGGAAACCAGAAACGTCGAAGCCCATCCCGAAATATCAAAGGAATCCCTTCAATGTGCCATAAGCATAACGGCTCAGACCAACGACTTGAGCGGCTGGTTCTCGTTGCAGCTTCTAAACGATCTGATGCATATGTGGGAGACTGAAATACCGTAACTTTAAACTCGGATTGTATCCTTCTGGGAAGTGAAGAGATGACGATCCTCATACAAACTTTATTTCTTATTTTGAGTAGACTAAGCTCTCTAATTAGCCTTAGCTTCGCCCATGAAGAGCGAAGATTAGATGGAGGACTGTTCCCCGAAATCGCGAAGAGCGTCCTTCTGAAGATGGTGAAATGTAAACGCTATCCATTTTAAAAACTAGGAAATTTTGGCAAAGGCATCATGTCGCTCTGATAACAGCATTATACGGACGGAATAAGTCGTCTTGGTAAACATTCCCCTGTTCCGTTTTGCTAAAGTTATGGGCAATCGTTCATTGACAATAACAGAGGGATTTACTATCCACGATAAACGAAAGTAAGGTATCAAGGTATAAAAGACGCAGATTACTTGCTCGATCGAAGCACGCTCGATCGAAGCACGAACCAAATCAACTATGTATGTATTTATAAATATTTGGCTGCGACACTGTAGATGTCATGAGAGGATTTCAAGCTCTATCCATAGTGAAGATTTTTCTAATATACCCTAGTGTACGAGGCAAATTATGTAACCTTGTCCAGTCAGATTTTCTTTCTGGTCTCTCTAAGTTAAGAGTTAGCAAGAGCAGTTTAGCTGGTAGTCAAGCTTATCTTGAAACCTTATATTATTCAGCGAGTTAACATTGCGAAAAGAAGACTTGCCTGGCGAATTGCTAAAATATATTTAATTCCTGTAGAACTGCCTTTTGATAAAGGATTTTTAAATTAAGATTTCTGTGAAAACATAAACTGAGTGTGTGTGTGTTTTTTTTTTTGTTTTTTTTTTTCCCAAGGTAACATCAAGTCGGTGATTTCCTGGGGCCAGTGATAGTCACACGTCGAGACATCTGGAAACTATTTCAGCGATAGTTTTGCCACATTTTCAAGGCCTGGACCGCTGACGCAAAGCTTCATATATACACTATTCAACTCTGTGTACTTAGATACATTCGAGGTGATCGTTTCCCTCTACAGAGTTTCATTGGGTTATTTCTTGTTAGCCGCCATTTAAACGAAGAATCAGCGACAAACTGATATTCGACCTAGTTTTTCTGAGAAAATGGCAGACAGATATTAATTCACGGTTTTCCGAGAAACTTGACTGGTTATTTGAAAACTCCAGGTTGAAAGCATCACGTGACAGTAACGCATGTGATCTGTCGATGACATCAAGAGTTAATTTTGATTGATGTGTCAAGGGCGCGAAATAAAACACTGGAGCCTGAGTAACGTTTCCCCAGTACGTAGCGCAGGTTTTTCTTTTACTTTTCTTCCAATGAACCATAAATTCCCTCGAACATGGTCTAGTAATGTTTCACTTTGCACGCGTTTAATTCACAAGTCGACATTTAGGCCATGAGGAGGAGGGGGGATTTAAGCTTTCAAATTACGACGAATATCATAACAGCTGGCCACCCGTTTCCCAGAAATCGAGTCATAAACATCCGTTTCTTATTTGCGCATGAGCATGTAAGCCAAGGTCTCTGGTCACAACTTAACGCAGTTTCTCTTGCAGATAAATTACAACGGGTCCATATATTCCAAAGTTAACTATGATATCAGACGAAAAAACAAAATTGGGGGAGGTAAATGAAGCGTCTTTTGGTTTCGAAATGTTCGTGTTTTGTTGCAAAGCAAAATAAAATTCTGAGTCCTGGCTATTTACAATGTAAATAATATCTTAAATGTGTCACATGGGAGAACTGCAAGATCAATGATTGGTGGAAGAAAGAGCCACGTCACATTATCGAAAATGCCTGCTCGTCGTCACGCTGATACACATCAGTCTCATCCAAGAAGCCCAAAACGAAGGCTTAATTAGTAGTTTAGGAAATAAATATCGCCGAGGACTTGCTCACTGCAAGCATGATCACGGAGGAACAAGTTAGACAGATCGGTGAAGAATTAGATCCGATGGCCGCGGCTCTATTTGGAGTGAATATGACTTTGAGAAGAGAAGTGCATCAAGAACGAGCAAGAATGAACGAACTTGCATTCAGTCAGCACACTGACGACATCGAGTCCCTCAAAAAGCAGATTGATGAGAAAAACAAAGAAATCACAGAACTACAAAAAGCCATGGAAAAACTCGAAGAACAAAACCAAGAGTTAACCGTGGAACTGAAGTCCAGAAACGAGGAGATCAAAGCTCTAAAGGCGAGACTCAGCCGACTCGAAAGCGAGAAGAAGGATTTAGAAGACGAGTTGAGGTCCGTTAAAGTCAAAATTAACCGCATGGAGAAAGACATAAAAGAGTTAAATGAAGCAAAGATGGTTCAGGAAGAGAAGAACATGGAACTGCAAGAAAATTTCGACAAGGTCACTGGTAAATTGGAGAGCCGAAACCAAGTAATAAGAAAAGAAATGAAGGAGATTCGGGAGTCACAACACAAAGAGATATCGCCGCCATCTGTCACCATTCCAAGAGCAGGGCGACAAATGCTTACTCCCCCGTTGCCGCGTCATTTACAGATAGCCGATCGAGAGTTACATGCCTCGCTGTCCTTGGGAGAATTGTGCCGTCAATTCCAAAACAAGTTGTACAAGATAATATTTCCAAATTCCGTCATGCCAAACAGAAACTACAAGATGAAGAACATTTGGCGCGATTTAGAGAAACTTCCTCAACCGAAAGAGGAAAAGGACAGATCAAAGAAGAAGTGGGACGAGGTGAGGGAGAAGTTGAAGTGGGATGAGAGCTACGAAGATGCCATGAAGTCTCTACAAGAAAGCAGAAATCTGGACGCTCATCCAAGTCCGCTGACGGAGGAAATTCTTAACAGAGCAGCAGAAATCATGGATTCTAAAGGTAATCTCAAGGGCTGGCTGTCCTTGAAACGTGTACATGAGCTGATAACTATGTGGAAACAGGTACAAGCAATGGAGTAAGGCTTTCTTATGTACTAGAGAACAATCTTTTATCGCTGTAGGAGCTTACAAATTACACTTTGCAACGAAAACGAGTAGTGTACAAGTCGCGTTTTAGTTTATATTTTATTGCCGATGTGACTAAGTCAGGTCAGAACTATACGTAACACTGGTTGGTGTTAATCACTACGAACAGCGAATATGGACTGTGTGCTTTACTGTAGTTTGAACGAAGATTTATCCTTGCAATTGACAAATTTTGACGTAGAAGTTAAGAAAGCTAGTTGGACTTTGAGCCGCTTATTACTAAGAATGAAAGAACTGGTGTCTTCACTTTGTTAGAGAAGCGCTGCCAGAGTTTATAAGCCTACTTATTGAGAGCATCTTTGAAGTTGGAGCTTATCATTCATATATCTTTATTGGGCGAATAAAATTCTTGACAGATTTTGAAAAACTGTACTAGGAGTAAATTTGTTACTATCGTAACGTTGCGAGCAGAGTTCTGCGACACAAAGTTACACCACGCCACGCGTTGGTAGCATAATATAACGATTATCACATGTTAACTAGCAATAACAGTGCTATGGCGATCGACAACTCTATCGCATCGGGAAAAGCGCTAAATGGTGTTACTGCATCGAAAAAATATGCAACTAATGGAGTTAATTTAGTAAAATAGGAGGATCATGGCTCACTTCCTGTGGATCTTCGCTTTGCATCATTTGGCCACCGAGCGTAAAACACATTCTCGCATACTCATTCTCATCAATTCGCACAAATATTTTCAGCTGCATGGTTGTTAGCTTTACTCGGTGAGACCTTTATTATTAAGCCAGTAGACATCTTCTTTAAAAAAGGCTTGTATGTAAAAAATATGACACATTTAACTCACATAAAATTCAACGAAGAGGAACCGAGTTTCTGAGAAATTGAACTCATGTTGCATAACAACAGAGGTCACTCTCTGTCGTTAAAATGACGGCTACATAAACAGCAGACTGCCACAAAATGTTCAGACGTATGAATGCATCGATTTTGTCAAAGCTTGGTCTCGTTATACTGAGCGAAGAACGAAAGGCGAAAACACGACTTCTTGGTCGCGGTTGCCTGGTGTGAATATTGGAACTGCAATACTGTGTTAAGGTATCTTACTTAGAGCAAAGTAGACGCCATGTCTGAACAAAGATATACTGAATTAAGGAATTAATGGCTGTTGCACATCAATAAGATTTTCGGCCGAAAGACTGCGAACGTTTCTGATTGTCGGGCATTTAGTCAACCTAAGGTCCGGGCATAACTTAATAACGGTCACTGCTTACTGAGTAAAGCTAATTATTTTACCTTGCTAAATCAGTTGTTTGTATAGTTTTTAGTTGCTCACACCTACGTAAAAGATGACACTTTCAGTATTGAGATGATATACTTGGACGTGAAATTCGACTGAGTTGGAATCAACTATTTAGACCGCTATTTTACGCGCTGCGTCAAAACTGACCAAAACTAGAATAATCCATTCTTCCTTCTAGTCGACGAAAATTATTCAGTCTCGGTTCATGACATGTCGACGGGCAGAGTACCTTCGTCAAAGAGGAGGTAAAAAATTCTGACCAGGAATTTGCAGTCGAACGAAGGATTACTCAAGGCCTCCTCAATGTAAAATACTTTGTAAATGTTGTAACACCGCTGTTTAACATTAATGTTCTATAATGTAAATACATCCTGCTGTCGACTAGTTTTGGCCATAGCGTCTGGGTCATCAATTCACGTGAACATCTGCAGTCTGATCCGCATCTAAAGCAATAGTATCTCACCATAAATTCACGAATACTCTAAATTCATTTGTAGCAAGTACGCTCATATCAAGAAAACACCAGAGTGACTTCGTGATATTATTTATCCAAATTTATTTTTCTTTTTCCCTTTTGTTTGTTGAATTTGCTGTGGATCAAGGAAGCAGGATACATACAGATCAATTCAAATATAAATGATTGCGTTCTGCATCATACCAGTATGTCTGTCAGCTTTATTGGTCTCATAGGTAAATATGTACATATATAGTAAATCAATAAGAAATACAATGTAAAGACCGAAAGGGATTGCGCGAACGGTAAAGCATCCCATGCGAAGCGCAGCCCTAAATCTAAAAAGAAGAAAAAAAAAGATAAAAAGATCTAAAATTTAATAGAATTTTGCTTACTCTCTCTATGGTTCCTTGTTGACGCTGGTTTGTTGTTCAATACACGTACTCAAGAAAGCACGACAGGATTTCTAAGAAATTTACCTGCTAATTTAAACACATCAGACTGACCTTATGGAAACGATGCATGTAAATTATATCCCGGCAACGCAACCTAGAAGCCGTCACAGAATATTATTCTTGAATTGTTTTTCGTATTATCGTAATAAGTTGATAACCGCAAGTACAGAAGAGCAAAAATTAGTTATTGGGTTTCTAGCACAAATCCCTCAAAGAGAAGTTACAGTTAAGAGGATGGATGTCAAATTATTTTGCCCAAAATTATTCCGAGAGTCTCGAATTTGCTTGCCTTTTTCCGAGAAATGTTTACACTGAAAACAATCAATGCGTCGTTTTCCTAGAAAAATGTAATACTTATTATGTGCGACCTACCCCTGACCCCCCCCCCAAAAAACTTATTCTTGGTCACGTGGTCGGCGAAAGCGACACGGGTGACTCTGGGGACAAGAACCTCACAAGTTAGGATGTTAAAGGAGCTCAGTCACGATGGTATTTAAAATTATTTTCTCAAAATAGTACCTTATTAAGATAGAAAAACACCTGAGATAATAATAATCATAAAGGAACAAGGATGGTTAAGGATGGAAAAGATATACACGGGTTGCAAGCGACGAACTTGAAAAATGTAGCCTAAACTTTTCAAGATGCGCAATACTGTAGCGTAGCTCCTCCAAAGTCTTAACTTTGGTTTGGGTAATCACACCCTAACAACGATCGTTAAAAGAAAAGAAGTAATGGTGAGGAAGGCTCCTCAAACTTTTAACGTGCAAGAGTTGTTTGCTTAATAAACGACACTAAGGGACCAAGTAGCAAACATAGCAGTTACATATGTCACACACACTGAAGGTTCTATTGTTTATTAGTCTAATGCAAACTTTGCGGGAAGATTCTCTGAATAAAACTAATAATCCTTTAATATTGTTGGGCCAAGTTTCAACTGAGACGATAACTTTTACCATGATTTGTGCTTTAAGTAACAAACAGGTAATGACATCAGTCAATGGGGGAAAAATGCCAAAAAACACAAGATGAACAAAGCAAAATTGAAAATCGATTTCGGGGAATGGCATACGAAAACAATCTGACAATAGACAATAGCACTTTTGCTTTCGTTCCGCTGAGTCATCCAGCATTTAATTTCAGTAATATGATGACAAAGTTAAATACAGCATGTCCATAGGGAACACTTTCCATGCAAAGGGAACTGCTTCGAGTTAACTGAAGAATAGAAATTTAGGTTTTAGCTCAGTAACTTATTTATAATCGTTCCTAGAACGTACATGTAGTAACTATAGCTTACATATAGCAGTGGATGTCATGGATTCAAAAGGGAACCTAAAAGGTTGGCTCCCTCGGGACTGCGTTACTGTATTGATCACTATGTGGGAACAACTTAGTCGCTGCAATTAGTTCTCCCTACGGAGATTTCAATTTTTTAGTTATAACTTGTTGCTGAATAGGCTTTTATTAAAAATGCTATGGGAGTGAGATTGTTATTTGATGATATACACTTTTTTTATTTCGTAGGTTCGAAGAAGATATATTAGGCACACAAAAGTTGTGATGTATATTTTCTTCTTTAATAGTTTACAAAGTATTTTCTCGTAGTTCAGCCCGAGGGTTTAGGTTACATGACCATAGTTCAAAGGCAACCAGGCTGAGCTGGTTAATGCTTTCTGAAATCAATTCACAACAATGGAGAAAGACGGCATGGAGCGTCCGAATCAATACACATTCTTGCCATGTATGTACTGCTTTCTAACCAAGTTCTAGTCTTCTTTTTTTATACCATTTTGAATTGGAAGAAAGATTGTATTTTCTTCTGACTCGATGGACGGTGCTCTGTTACAATAGCTTTGTTTCTTGCCAGTTGGCCAGCGAGGAAATAGTCCATACCTAAGACTAATATTTACTTCGGTTAGCCTTGAAGACCAACAAAGAATAAACACAACGAAATGATTTTCTGGTCGAGGCATGCTTGCCATCGATGGTAAGCGACTAATGACTGACTGCCTTGTATCTTTTGCCTTAATATGCACTACTGCAGTTGATAACGAATTGTAACCAACAGCACACGGTTTTCTGTGTTCCCAGCATGGCGATCAAGTTTCACAATAGCACAACGCAAAGGGCTTAGTCCTTAGCAAAGTGCGCCAGAAGAATCCGTTCTTTGCCGAGCTAAGATATGTGTAAATACCTTAAACAGAAGCCTTACACCTTAAAATCTAGACACACACAAAGTGTTTTTAGAACGCCGTGACAAGCCAGATTTATTGAGTGCAAACTTGGTAAAACTGGAGTCTTTTTGAAGGATTAAACCTTGACTCTGTAATATTGGTGATGCAATTCAGGAACGCTTTGTTCCAACTGCGATTGCCATTTTGTAGGTGTAATGTTTAAATCTGCAAGTGCAATTTTCGATTTTTTAGCACTGAACGAGTTTTGACTCATCACCAGGTATCAGTAATGTATAAGAGCTTGGTGTTTCAACAATCAAGGGGACGATAACCGTTTTCCTAGAAATCGAGTAACAAGTCACGCGGGAACGGTTTCTAAGAAATTGCATGTGGCGAAGGTCAAATTTTAGTAATTTAAAACGATTCGCGCCGATAAAACAGTACCTTTCATTCATTCAATGCATGCACTGGATTCATAGATTTTGTCTAATATATCCAAGTGATTTTAGGTTGGTTGGTGAGAGATTGGTTAAGTCTTCGCGGATGCTGACGGCTACTGTTCAGGAATGGCGTGATGTGGGATGCATGAGGTTCGCTTGGCCATAAACACACTGGAAGCTAGGTGAACATTGTGCTATAATGTATAGTATCATATTCGAGCCGTTTCTTGAGTAAGAAGCATGAAATGGTGTACGTCAAAAAATGCAGAAGTAAGCAAGCCAGTAGGTAACACCTAACGTAACATGGTTATGATACGATGTTATTTAGGTAAATTGACAACACTTGCCTTCGGTAAGACAAACATCTCCCAAATAACCTTTACTTACTTTACATTTATTTTTTTATATTTTAGGGCTTATTTCTGAGGACATCTTCAGCCATGTTCTCAAAGCAACCAATTAATTTGTTCAAATGGCCACCAAAAGGTACCTCACTATAAAGACTGTTATCTCGAGCAACCAGTACGCAGTAGACAAGTACTGCGATCAGTTAACAGTCGTGATTCAGCCTAGTACAGCGATCACTGGTTGACGGTCATATGTAGGTCTTATTGTGGCGGTGTTTGCTTTTAAAACACGTACCGAGAAAACAGAATGTCTGTCTTTTTTGATAGACTACGATAGGAATTTTGAAACATTTATTGGAGCAATCAACAGATCGTGCCATTTCAAAAACGAGATCACTATGCTTGAATAATGGCCATGGATCATATTTAGTGTGTTAAATGAGCGGTTGATGTCTGATCCATACCTTGCCCTCGCCTAACGGTTTCGTCAGTATCGGACGCTGCATTACAAACGAAATGAAAAACAAAACTGACATTTGGCGATTCGGGGAAATAATAGGGATAATAAATTATACATGCAGCGGGTGTTTGTTACCACATGCATGTCATGTGAAGCTTCCCTTGAGCGGGCTTGTTTCATGCAAGTCTTTTTTTTTTTTCTTACCAAAAGAGAGTTTCAATTCTATTTCTAGGACTCCATGCGCGTGAGACACAATCTGGAACAGACCACGGCTAAATAAAGTTTAGTAAGAAAACTCCCGACAGGAAAACAACTCATCCAATTCCGGGAAATGTTATTCATACATCCTTGCGCGAGTGCGTCACCCGTCAGTTGATTGGTCAATACCTTACCACACCACTTAGTAATATTTAGTAAATGCGCTGAGTAACGTGCTTTATTAAACCACAAAAAAACCCCGCAAACTTAGTTCCAGGTCGCAAGACGTGGAATTTTGCTCTGGAACCATCTATGAACCTATGATGCGTGGATGACTCATCTTTCAAGTTCGTCTTTCACAATCCATCGTAATCTTCTCCAATCTTCTCCATCCTTCTTCCTTAATGCTTTGTTTTTGTTTTTGTTTTTGTTTTTCTTTTTAAGTGTCTCATTACTGGTTTTCTTTCTTAGTTTTCTCTGTTTCCCCATTATCAAAATAATTAGCAATAATTATTTCAATGATCATGAAAAGGCTCATGCTTCAAAAGAGCACTTTGGCTCCGTCATGCAACACCAAATAGATACCATTCTTTTCTTTGTGTCTGTAATCCAATAATGGAAAGATTGCGTCAAAATGAAAACTTGGTAAGTTCGAAACAAAGGATGCCCTACAAGCGAAAATCTCGATACGCGGTTAAAAGTTAACGGTTATAAGTTTAATTTTTCAATAAAATAAATTATTTTCGAAACTTGTATTCTTTATTTTGTGGAACAATATTACGTGTATGTTAGGTTATGCAAACACTTTAGTTAATCATTCTTTTTTTTTCTACCCAGAGGAATTCTGTACTTCTAGCAAAAATGGCAAATACATTTAAAAAATCGAAGGAAAGAAAAGAGCTTCGTTGTCTGATTTCCTTATTTCCCTATTATCAAATTAACAGTCCCTTTTCTACAACGAACATCTGATAAAATCTGACAAAACATGAGCATTCACTGTTTATCGATCTAACGCTTATGTTATTGAATGAAAAGGATAGAATAAGACAACGGTCGAGTTAAACAAAAATCAAGAAATTCAAAACTCAACCTCGTGACAACACAAAAGCAATTTCGGTGATGTCCACAATGCAAATTACTGCCTGCTCTGCGATAGTGTTGGCACAAACACGATAATATATAGATTTAGCCAGGCCCAAAAGCGGGGCTCCTGGGCCGGGCTGCTAAAAGCCCGATTAAACTAACCCAGATTAAGCGAGAATTTTGATTTGAGTTTTGTAACGTTGCAATGAGGTTTTTTTGTATATTGTTTGGCCTTCTATATTGAGTTTGAGTAATCTCAAAATACACAAAACAGAAGCAGTGAAAAAAATTTGTATACAAGGAATATTTATACTTTGGTTAACTTTTACTCTGTAATCCTGGGTTAGAGTTATCCGGCTCCCGAACAACCCGGCCCCGTTTACATTAAGTTGATATGAGCCCGCGATCCAATAGAAAATCAGTACTTGGTCAGACGTCAACTTTAAAAGAACACGTGACCTCAAAGAGCTGTAAACCTGAGCCCGCGATATGGTCACGTGGTACTGGCCTGCGGATATCTTGTTTTGACAGGTGTCGATTGACCATAACATGGGTTTCCAACATCAACGGAGGCCACAAATCAAGGCTGCATATCTTAATAAACCTTTCAGGTGGAGTATGGCCACCATCTTGCGCGACTCCGTCGTCGCCGTCGTCGTGCGTACGCACCCACGAGCAATACCGCTAGCCATGATAACTATGAGAAAATCAATTCATGGGTTTCATTTTCTTTCCTATATGGGTATGGGGCTCTGCTTGGCTGCCCATCGGGCTCCGCTATTAAGCAGACGAAGACTCTAAGATATTTGTCAGGAAGTTTTGATATCAAGTTTAAAACAATGAATAACAGCCAGTGTGTGCATAAAATCTTTCCCGTTCGGTTTAATTAATAGCCTAATTTTTTGCATTTTTCCTACCGTTCTCTCTTTCTCGAATAGTCACATGCTACAGCTTACTCTTGTAGTGATTAATGACGGGAAAAGTTTCTGAAGCGCAAAGCTTCCTCGGTTCTAATTTTTTGCAATGTTCACATAGTCAATAAATCTCAACCTTACATGGCATTGGTCACGTGACCACCTGACGCAAAAGACCTATTCACGACAACGATTAAATTGAAGCGCCCGCGAGGTCCTCGAGGCGCGACGCTGTTAAACAGCAGTCGCATGACGGATCACAGGGGTGACAAGAGTACATTTCTAACCTAATATGGCAATCTTTTATTACAGATTCGAATGGCGAACCCTGCCAAGATGCACAAGCTGAACTTAAAAATTGTCTCTAATTTTCTGCGCTGCAGATTCTGGAATCGTTATACTGCATTCGAACTCTTATCTTACTCTTAAGCAAGAAAAAAAACAAAAACAAAAACAAAAAACAGGTTTTAAGTTAGAATAATTAGCTATTATTAAGTGAGAGTCAGAGCGGAACCGGGATCTTTTATTTCCGCCATAAAAAAGCGGTTTAGGATTTTCCAACATGCGCAGAAATAAAAATAGATAAGGGCCACGTCATGATAGGTAAACCTGCCAAACGAGAAATTACGCCCCGGTGTTAATGTCTATTCCTTATCGGCGCTTTCGCTCGTAGGAACGTTTCAGTCGTACCTTCGCCACTAAAGTTTGGGGAAATGAGTGTTTTACCTCATCCAAGGCGCCTAGAGCCGAGTGGCGAAGTAGTTGCAACACATGTTGTTGGCTTCGCAGGACGAACAAGAATGCCGGATGGTTTAGAAGTCGTCACTGAGAAACATACCAAGCAAATTGCGTCTCTCACCTCACAGATTGAAGTCAAGAACGAAGAAATTTCGAAATTTAACGAAGATTTAAAGGATCTTCGGCGACAAAACAATGACTTAAAGATTACCGTGGAGTCGAAGGACGAGGAAATAGAAGCCCTGAAAGAGCAAATCAATAAACTAGAGAGCGAGAAGAAAGCCTTGCAGACGGCTTTAAGAGATGTTAAAGGCGAACTAGAAGCCATGAGAAAAGAAGTCGTCGACTTGAAAGGAGAAAATTCGACTTTAAAGGTGAAAATCGAACAACTAGAGAGTGAAAAGGAAGCCTTGGAGAGAAACTTGAGATCTGTTGAGGGCCAACTAAACGATGTGAGACAGGAAGTCGTCGAATTGAAAAATGAAAATTCGAACATCAAGAAACGAAACGCTGCACTGGACCTGACTGTAAAGAAATTGTCCAGCAGAGTGGATGAAATCACAAGAACTCTCGAGGAAAGCACGAGAGACAACTCGAATCTCAAAAAAGAAGTCAAGAATCTACGAGAAGCTGCCTTACAGGGCATGGCTCCATTTATGCCTTCGTCATTCCTGCCTGATCCAGTCGAGAAAGCTTCACTGGTCCTTGGTGAATTATGCCGTCAGATACAAGCCATGATGTACAAGAAAGTGCTCCCAAACTCACCTTACGATGATAAAATGAGTTACAAAGTGAAATATATGTTGGAAGATATAGAAGAATTGGAAGATGAGCGAGAAAAGGCTGAGGCGTTGAAGAGATGGAAGGCACTCCAGAAGAAGCTAAACTGGAAGAAGATAAAACACACGAGAGCGATGAAATCAATCCAGGATAACAGAAACAACACCGCTCATCCTGATCTAGACGAAAACCAGCTTGTTGAATCAGTGGAGCTGATGAAGCAGAGGGGGAACCTGACGGGCTATTGCACGCCAGAACTTGTCAACGAATTGATAGAAATGTGGAAAATGTTGTCACAATGAAAAACACCTATGAATAGAGATATTTAAAGGAATATCTGGTAAACTTTGCTGTGTTTGAACTGGAGTTGCGAATGTCGTAGGCTGATACACCTTGCCAGGATAAAGGAAGGTTTCGCCATTTGCGAAACAGTCGTATACTCGCTTAGATTTGTAAACTTCATTACCTAGAAATCCCGTGCTATCGAAATTTAAAAGCAATTGTAAAAACTGTTTCGCTTTCATCAATCTTTCATGTTAACATCGGATAAGCCTTCTATCATTCGTCATAATCTCGATCGTTTCTGCTTTGATGTAGTTAGCGATGAATGTAAACTGAATACAACGTCGACGACAAATTATAAGATGTGAAAGAAACGCTAATTATTGCTTGATCGAAACATAGGCCTGAGTAAATCGCGACATCTAGTTGTTAGAGTCATGACAGCATTTCAACTTTTATTCGCTGTGATATTAAACGTTTTTCTATAACCCAGCGAATCACAAAATTGTCTGATCTTATCGCCTTGTTTTAGAGGTTTTGTTTGCTGTTTTTGCTTAGTTAAGAGTCAATAAAGGTGGTTCAGGGCTTTTAGCCATATCTTGAATGTTCATATTCGATTTAGCACGAAGAAAGATTTGCCTGGTTGATCAGTAAAACATTTTCCATGTCTACATATTTGCTGTTCATGAAAAGACAAGCTGTTTTCCACTTATAAGAGCAGTTTTCCACTCATCTTTTTTGAAGCTCTAAATAGCAAAGTTGCTTGGAAAACGAAAACCCATTTCTGGATTTTCCGAGAAATCGCTAGTAAGTGTCAGTCCAGGAATAGAGAGAATGAACATGGCGATAGCCACATATCAAGACATTTGGAAATTCAATTCTCTTGCCATATTTAGGGCCCAAGTGGAGTTGAGTTGAAATTTCCTCTTTCAATGAATAATTTGGTCTGTATTTGAAATGTTCCTTCTAAGAAGCGCCAAACCAAGTATTATGGACAAATAAATATACGATATATTAAGATGTAAAAAATATATATATATTTTCGATTTTCTGAGAAATGATCGCTCGGACACTAATTCACCCGTTTCCGAGAAACTCAACAAATAAATGAAAATTACTGGATAAGGTATTTTGGGCTGAAAACAGCACCTGGTGGCGACGAACGTGATTGGCCCGGCATCGGATGCCATAGAAACGTCATATTGAGCGATTTGCGGATCAGGTGCCCAACGCGACAAGCTAGAGAAACGTTTTTCACGCAATACGTAGTTCAGTTCTCTCTGAAATACTCTTAGTGTCATAAATACGAGTGAAAATCATTAGATGACATTTCACAGTCATAGAGGTTTACACTGAGCTCAAAATCAGTATTACTCGTTCGCCCACACGCATACTGAAATACTAACTACAAAAATCCCACGAATAACAGCAGGGCACCAATTTCCAAGAAACCGATTTTGTAAACATCCGTTTTCCATGTGCACATGCATGAAACATAGTAATGAGCCCATATATTCTTTAGTATATTTGAACCAGATATAAACTAAAAAACCCATTTTAGAAGGTAGCATCTTTCGGTTTCGAAAACTACTTTTTTCCATTTCAAACAGAAAGCAAAATTCTAAGCCGCAGATGTCATATATTTTTAGTGTGAACTAATTTGCCACATAGGCTTATATAATTACTGCAACATCATTGATTGGTGAAAGAAAGAGCCCCGTCATACTGTTGGAAAATGCCTGCTTGTCGTCATGCTGATGTATGTCAGCCTCAAAGAAGGTCGGAAACGAAGGCTTAAGAAGTAGTTCAGGAAAAAATATTGTCGACGAACTTCACACGACAGCCATGATCACCGAAGAACAATTCAGGCACATCGGCGAAGATTTAGATCCAATGCCGGCTTTACTAGGAATGAATGTCACTTTGAGAAGAGAAGTGCATCGAGAACGAGCAAGAGTGAACGAAGTTGTAGTCAGCCAGAACACTGAAGACATAGAGTCCCTCAAAAAGCAGATCGATGAAAAGAATAAAGAAATCACAGTACTACAAAAAGCCACGAAAAACTCGAAGAGCAAAACCAAGAGTTAAGTGTGGAACTTAAGTCCAGAAACGAAGAGATCAAAGCTCTCAAGGCGAGACTCGGTCGACTCGTAAGCGAGAAGAAAGATTTCAGTAGAAGACGAGTTGAGATCAGTTAAAGTCAAAGTTAACCGCATGGAAAAAGGCATAAAAGAGTTAACTGAACCAAAGATGGTTCAGGAAGAGAAAAACATGGAATTGCAAGAAAATTTCGAGAAGGTCACTAGTAAATTGGAGAGCCAAAACCAAGTACTAAAGAAAGAAATACGGGAGTCACAACACAAAGATATATGGCCGCCATCTGTCACCATTCCAAGAGCAGGACGACAAATGCTGACTCCCCTGTTGCCGCGACATTTGCAGAGTAGCCGTTCGCGAATTGCATGCCTCGCTGCCTTTGGGAGAATTGTGCCGTCAATTCCAAAACATGTTGTACAAGATAATATTTCCAAATTCGTTTATGGCAAGCAGAAATTATTAGATGAAGAACATTTGGCGCGATTTGAAGAAACTTCCTCAACCGAAAGAGAAAAAAGGATAGATCAAAGAAGAAGAGAGACGAGGTGAGAGAGAAGTTGAAATGGGAAGACAGCTACGAAGATGCGATGAAGTCACTTCAAGAAAGCACAAATCTGGACGCTCATCCCAGTCTGTTGACGGAGAAAATTCTTAACAGAGCAGCAGAAATCACGGATACTAAAGGTAACCTCAAGGATTGGCTGTCTTTAAAACGTGTACATGAGCTGATAACTATGTGGAAACAGGTACAAGCAATGGAGTAAGGCTTTCTTATGTACTAGAGAACAATCTGTTATCGCTGTAGGAACTTACAATTAACACTTTGCAACGAAAACGAGTAGTGTACAACTCGCGTTTTAGTTTAAAAGTAATTGTCGATGTGACTAAGTCAAGTTGGTTGGTGTTAATCACTACGAACAGCGAATATGGACTACGTGCTTTACTGTATTTTGAACGAAGTTTTATCCTTCCAATTGACAAATTTAGCCTTAGAAGTCAAGAAAGCTAGTTAGACTTTGAGCCGCTTATTACTAAGGATAAAAGAACTGGTGTCTTCACTTTGTTAGGGAAGCGCTGTCAGAGTTTATATTCCTACTTATTGAGAGCGTCTTTGAAGTCGGAGCTTATCATTCATATACTTTTATTGGGCAAATATAATTATTGTCAGATCCTGAAAAACTATACTACGAGTAAATTTGTTAGTGTCTAACGTCGCGAGCAGAGTTTCGCGACACAAAGTTACACCACGCCATGCGTTGGTAGCGCAATGATTATCACATGTCGGCGCCTATCCAGTTTTTTTTGTAAATGTTAACTCGCAAAAACAGTGTTATGGCGATCGATAACTCTATCGTATCGGGAAAAGCGATAAATTGTGTCACTGCATCGGGAAAATATGCAACTAATGGAGTTAATTTAGCAAAAATAGGAGGATCATCGCTGCTTTCTCTGGATATTCGCTTTGCATGATTTGGCCAGGCCACCGAGCGTAAAACACATTATACTTGTATTGTTTGCACTTTCTTATTTAACTACCCAAAGAACCTTTATATAGACTCATATCAACGGATAGAGTCGAACATTTCAATTTGGCACTGGATTTGACGCCACGAATACCGGCGATAATTAAATTGACCTTAGTAATTTCCATCAAATTCCTTTCAAGAGGCAACTCGCACACTCACTCTAGCATTCTCATTCTTATATAAGTCGCACAAATAATTTCACTCGCATGGTTGTTCGTTTTACTCGGTGAGACCTTTATCATCAAGTAGGTAGACATCTTGTTTAATAATTAACGGCTTTCATGCAAAAGAACATATGAAACATTTAGCACATATAAAATTCAACGAATAGGCACCTAGTTTCTGAGAGATTGAACTCATATTGCATTACAATATAGGTCACTCTCTGTCGTTAAATTGACCGCTACATAAACAGCAAGGATCACATAAAACACTGCCATCAAATGATAAGACACATGAAAGTATCGATTTATGAAAGCTTGGTCACGTTATACTGAGCGAAGAGCGAAAGGCGAAAAGTATGGCTTCTTGGTCGCGGTTGCCTTGGGAACTGCAATACTTTACTTGTGTTAAGTTGTCTTACTTAGACAAAATATGTGTGAACGAAGATATACTGAATTAAATAATTAATGGCCGTTGCACATCAAAAAGACTTTCCGTCGAATATCTGCGAAAACTGATACGCTATACAACATATATGACATATATAACATCAGTGTTCTATAAATTCAAATGCGTCGTGCTATCGACTAGTTTTGGCTACAGTGTCTGGCTCATCAGTTTACGTGAACATATGCAGCCGTTGTCTGATCCGAATGTAAAGCAATATTATCTTACCATAAATTCGCAAAGCGTTATTACAAGACTAAATTCACTTGTAGCAAGTATGCTCAGATCAAGAAAACACTCCGTGTGAGTTTATTTTTTCAAATTTATTTTTTCTTCGTCCTTTTTTTTGTTGTTGAATTTGCTGTAGATAAATTCAAATATAAATGATTGCGTTTTGCATTATATACCAGCATGGTTATTAACGTTGGTGTGTTGTTCGACACAAGTTTCCGAGAAAGGACGACAGGTTTTCTAACAAATTAAACCGCTAATTTAAACACATCAGACTGACCTCATGGAAACCATGCAAATTATATTCCTAGCGGAGAAAACAGTTAATTAAAGCTGGAAAGACCACCATCGGAGAAGTGGAGTTACCAGTAAAGGACCGAAAAACATTCTCGTATTCTCTATATTGCACTAGATCTAGTTTGTAATAAAGGCTCATGCGGGGGAATATCATTAAGAGATGAATGTAATTTGCATTTGAAAAGACTCTCTGCATTAGCCTCAGCTGCAAGTTTGTTCCAGTCCAATTCCGAGAATACGAAAATGGCTTTATTGCCTGTGCAGTAAGCAGAATTTTAACACACGCTAACACACGCTACTACCAATTACAATTACTAACACACGCTAAAATTATGGACTAGATTGTCCGATAATGCCAATACAAACAGAATTTGTTTATTCGGTTTCTAGCAGAATTCCCTCAAAGAGAAGTTACTGCTTAGAGGATGGATGTTAAACAGGAGAACATCTTTTTGCCCAAAATTATTCCGAGAGTCTGGAATTAGATTGCCTTTTCCGAGAAATGCTTACACATAACACAGTTAACGCGTCGTTTTCCTGAACGACGTGATATGTTTAACTCTAAAAATCTTTGCTATGTGCACATTTTAAAATATGAGGCTCGGAAATAAATCGTACCCTGACAACAACCGATGAAAGACGAAATAATAAGGGAGACATCTAAAACTTTCAAAACGCAGGAAGGAGTTGTTTGCCTCATAAAAAGGCACTTCCAAGTGTCATTTACATGTAACATAACATAACATAAAACCTTTATTTCAACACGATAAGAGTTAAAGCTACAAAGCTTGTGGGATCGTGTATAGTACTGGGCTAAAATACATTAATTGAAATATGCACGTGTAAAATACTAAATACGGAGCGAGTTAAAATATTAATGTCACACGCACTAAAGGTTCTATTGTTTATTAGTCTAATGCAAACTTTGCTGGAAGATTCTCTGAATAAAACCAATAATCATTAAATATTGTTGGGCTAAGTTTCCTCTAAGACCCTAACGTTTACCATGGTTTGTGCTCTAGGTAACAAACAGGTCATGCCATCAGGCTATTGGATAATAATGCCAAAAAGCAAGATGAATAAAGCAAAATCGAAAATCGATTTTGGGGAATTGCATACGAAAACAATCTGAAAATAGACAATAGAACTGTTGGTAAGTTGAGGTCAGCTGAGTCATCCAACATTTTAAATCAAGTTTCAGTATAATGATGACAAAGTATAATACAACTTGTTCATAGCGAACACTTTACATGAAAAGGCAACTGCTATAAATTGACTGAAGAAATAAAATTTAGTTCCGTAGCTCAGTAACTTCTTTATAATCGTTCCCAGAACATAGTAATCATGACTTTCAAAATAGTTACATGTCAATGCTTTAAGTATCAAAAATAATTGATGGGAAAAAATTCACTTTGTTAAATCGCGAGTTGGAGCGACAGAATCACAATGCTTTTGCTCTATTCTGCGACAACAAAACAACAAAAACAAATAACGCATCCCTATTCCGAGAAATTACTCTTCTTTCTGCGCATGTCCAACTGATTACCATATTTGAATTGGTTTGTCTTAAAATAACCTCATTAACCTGACATCCAATCACGACACTCTGGTTATAAAGAGGTTGACTGGATAAGACAAGTTATAGTGAAGACCCCCTGTGGTGCAAATTCTCGGAAAACGCAGGCCTCGGATATCACACGCCACGTCCTATTGAAGTAACATCTGCCGACCCAAGGATTTGCTTCGTATCACTCAGACACAAGCGACATCAACATCATCGATCGAACATTTGAGTTTACATTGCGTTCAGCTAGAAGACGAAGAAAATGGGTGAAGATCATTTCAGACAGATTGAACATCGTGGTCGAACCGCCACAGCGATACTAAGCGTTGTACAGGAAGCCTCGCAGTTCGAGCGCGAACGGATCACAGAACTTATGGTCGGTCAACACAGCGAAGAAATCGAGTCTCTAAAGGAAAAAATTGAAGAGAAGAACGAAGAGATATCACGTTTACACAAAGCAATGAAAGATCTCGAGGACAAGAACAAAAAGTTGGACGTCGCTTTGAAAACAAGGATCGAGGAAATTACCAAGCTTAAGACCAGGATTGGAAAACTGGAAGCTGAAAAGAAAGGCCTGGAAGACAAGTTAAGAAATGTCGAAGGGAAGCTGGATCGCGTCGAGAAGGAAGTTGAGGAGCTAGAGAAGGCAAACCAGGCTCACGACGAAGAAAACGTAAATCTAAGAGAACATTTAGAAATAATGTCTGGTGAAATGGAAAGTGTCAAAAAAGATTTGGTTCTGGCCAGAAATGAAAATCAAAATTTGAAGAGGGAGGTAAAAGATCTACAAGATACACATCAAAAGCTCTTCCCATTAACACTGGGTACCAAAGAAGGAAGGCAAATGCTGGCTGCTCCACCGCCAGTCTCCCCTGACGTTCAAGCGTCTTTGCGACTGGGCGAACTAAGTCGTCAACTTCAAGCCAAGATGTACGCGTATGTTCTGCCACAGTTGTTTACCCCGATCGGTAATTATAAGGTGAAAACCATTCGTCGCGACGTCGAAAAGCTTCCCAAAACTGAAGAGGAGAAAGAGAAAGCAAGACAGAAGTGGGCAGAACTCCAGAGTAAGCTCAACTGGAACGAGACGTACGAGGAAGCGATTAAACAACTCCAGCAAAACAGGAATGCTGATGCCCACCCCAGAATAACGACGCAATCACTGCACGAAGCAGTGGATGTCATGGATTCAAAAGGGAACCTGAAAGGTTGGCTCTCTCGGGACTGCGTTACTGTATTGATCACTATGTGGGAACAACTTAGTCGCTGCAATTAGTTCCTCCTACGGAGATTTCAATTTTTTAGTTATAACTTGTTGCTGAATAGGCTTTTATTGAAAATGCTATGGGAGTGAGATTGTTATTTGATGATATACACTTTTTTTATTTCGTAGGTTCGAAGAAGATATATTAGGCACACAAAAGTTGTGATGTATATTTTCTTCTTTAATAGTTTACAAAGTATTTTCTCGTAGTTCAGCCCGAGGGTTTAGGTTACATGACCATAGTTCAAAGGCAACCAGGCTGAGCTGGTTAATGCTTTCTGAAATCAATTCACAACAATGGAGAAAGACGGCATGGAGCGTCCGAATCAATACACATTCTTGCCATGTATGTACTGCTTTCTAACCAAGTTCTAGTCTTCTTTTTTTATACCATTTTGAATTGGAAGAAAGATTGTATTTTCTTCTGACTCGATGGA